GACTCGTGTGTCTTGGGCTCACTGCTTCACCTCCCTGTGTGAAATCCTTTCGGTTGTGGTTTGGTCCTCAGCAGGTCTCTTTTATCGATCCTCGTCTGCTCTGTACTGGAACATTTCCTCTGTCTCTCTCTGGCTCTGGAAGTTTGTCTTGGGTCTTTCTGCATCTGTGCTGGTGAAGTTGTTCAGGGTGGTCTCTTTGACTGTGTTTCTGGGTTCGTCCGCAGGGTGTGTTTTGTTTGTTATCCACTTGCTTTCTCAGTCTATTTGGAATCTGATCTGTTGTGCTCAGTCTAACAGTTTTGGTGGTGCCACCTTTTACTAGTGATCAGAGGTGTGGACTACACTGGACTCTGACATCAAAACGCACACGCAGCCCACACGACTGATTCATAAAAAAAATAGCCAGATGCTCATATGGACACTGAAACAGATGATGACAGGAAACCTTAAAAGACCAGTAAGAAAAAGTGAGGATATCAGGATACCAAATCAGTTTGAGTGTTCATATGAATGTTAGATTATTGTTGTAACTTTAAGTCCTTTGACCTGAAATGACTTTATATCACCTCAACCCAAAGACTAAAGTTGACCTGATCAATATAATCACATTATGACCATTTCACAGAGTTTCCCTATTAAGACAAACTCAAGGGGTCAAGAGTCTTCATTTGCCCTCAGCTCTACGAAGCGTTTTTGCAGACTTCAGATCATCAGTTTGGATTTAAAAGCTTTGCTCTTACAAGCTGCTGACATCAAACTTGAAAGCATGAAAAACTGAATCAGTTAAATCCCAAAAGGTTGATTCAGTTCATCTGGACGCAGCGTTTTCAGCAGGAGTCACTCATCCAGGTGACTTCTTCAGTCTCAGCTGACTGCAGGTTTCCCCAACCTTATAAACAGTACATTTGCACAATAACTGAAACCAGCCCAATAAATGAACAACGGGCTGTGAGGTCAATTCCTTGATCATTAATGCACAAATTGTCATGACCATTGATCAAAGACCATGAGTACCATTTACAGAGAGTTGGGGAATGGTAAATGGCCTGTATTTGTATAGCGCTTTACTAGTCCCTAAGGACCCCAAAGCGCTCTACACATTCAGTCATCCACCCATTCACACACTGGTGATGGCAAGCCACCCTGGGGCCCACTGACAGAGGCGAGTGGAATGGCTGCAATCTCAGCATTTTAAGATGGCAAAAGATATACCCTTAGGGCCCCCCCCCCCCCCCCTTTCCCTTTCCATGTAAATGGCTTTCTTGACTCTGCGCTCAAACCAGCGTTCCTCCCTGTCCAGGATGTGTACATCCTCATCCAGATGACCAGAATCAATCTTTAGGATTTACTTACCTGGATGATTCAGCATCAATCAGTTAAAGTGTCATGACTGTGGACATGTATAATCAGTCCATCATTGGTCATTTACACTGCAGAAAAAGAGTAGCAAGTGGAGCTGAGGCCTATAAACTTTAAGCCAAAAACACCAGACCGCAGCTCATTGAAGGAGGTTTTCAGGATATTTTAGTATTTTATGGACTGATTTTGAATTCATCACATGATTTTGCACGTTGAATTTGACTTTCTAGACTTCAGGCACCAGACACTGACTTTGTCCCACCTCTGGCAATGATCAAACTGTGTCTTTGCTTGTGTCACAAGTATTTGCCTCCTCCTCTACGCTTCATCTTTGTGCTTTTTCTAACATAGATGTTCTAATTCCTTGTTGTCAACCCTCTGTCTGAACCGCCTTTTTTTTTAAAAAAAAACAACCTCTTTTACAAATACGCTCTAACTTTATTCTCTTTCTTCCTTCTTTCTGTTTTTATTTATTTATTTTTTTGTGCGTGTGTGTGTCAGAAAACACGCAGAGACGTCTGCAACTTCGACAAGGAGTTTACAAAGATGGTGGTGGAGCTGACGCCAACAGACAAGCTCTTCATCATGAACCTTGACCAGAACGAGTTTCAAGGCTTCTCCTACACCAACCCAGAATTCATCATACAAGTCTGATGACTTCCGGCTGGTTAGAGGCCGGACTTTACTCCAGCTTGTACAGCCCAGCCACATTTCATTAAAGACCCATCCAGCATCAGATCAGGACTCAGAGCCGCGCCGTCTTCAGTCTCGACCCACACCAGCATCTAAACTGGGCAATCATAAACCGTCACATTAGCTCCACAAACACACAGACAGCAGTGTGAAACAAAGCCCGCTGGTGGCCAGTTTCCAGAAAACTCCAGGTGGTTAGCATTCCCAGTACCTCACAGTGAGCCGGTCAGTACGAAGAGCGGTGATCAAGAGTCACAGTGAATGTGCTAATAGTGTGTATGTGCTCTATTGATCACCAACAAGAGTGTCTGTTTACTTGATTTTCTTCTCTTCAGCCTGTGGAAGTTGCATCATGAGCCTGCAATGATCAATATGTACATGCTCACTCACACACACGTGTGTCTGTGCAGGCTGCGGTTTGGAGGAAGGTTGGTTTTGAATTCAAAAAGCTCTGATTTATAACCTCATGTCTAAGTTAGTCCTGAACTTAGTCTTAAGCACGTTTCGTCTTCCAAATTGATGCAAAAAGAAAAATTAAAAAAGGAAAAAAAAAGACCCCCCACCCCAAATGCCTGTTTCGGCAGAGATATTTAAAGACATCTTTCTCTAGCTTAATCTCTTTCTCTATGGCACTGTGTACGTATGCGGTGGGTTAGTGCTGTAGGCCTATACAGTCTTTGTGGTGCCGCTCCTCTATGCATGCCATGTTTGTTGGTCCAGTAGTTTAAAGACTTGCTTTCAACCTCTCGGACAACGAGGGGGGACCTCGTCAGGTGTCCAGAGTCAGTTCTGAAATATCCAAAATCAAAGTTTTAGTTCCCACTCTGAATGCTGTATCTCTTAATAGTGTTTTGAATATGCGTGGCTACACAGTTTGCTTTACAAAGCACGGAGCAAAGACTGTCTGGCTGTCTGTAAATGAGCGTATCGATGTAACGGTGCCGTATGACCTGTGTTTGTGTGTATGTGTGAATAGGAATGGGATGTAGAGCTAGAAGTGTTTTTCATGTTATCGTGCACTTCTCTACTATCCCCCCCCGTTCTCTCTTTCCCCTCCTCCTCCTCCTTCTCTTAAATCTTCTTTTGATCTCCGTCCCCCCCTCCCCCCTGGTTAACGTTCATATCATTTTAAGGAAATGTGATAAGACGAGAAAGACAGAGGGAGGGCAAAAGATGGGGGAGTAAAGTGTTAACTATGCAAAAAGGCAGGAGGAGGAGGAAGTGGGCAACTTTTATTAAGCAACCAAGGGATTGTGTAAATGGACAGTGTACATGTGTTGCATGCGCTGTCTTTACCTGCGCGTGAGAGACACCTGCAGAAAGATGCATTAAAATGAATTATCATAAAACATTCCAGAAACTCTGGCTCTCTTGTGTTTTTCTCCTTTTTATCAAAGACAATCTTGTGATCGTGCTTCATTTCTTACCGAGATGTATATTATGTCTGCGATGGAGAGGAGGGATTGTTCTTGAAAGCGATACAGATTTTTAAATCTGTATTGTATTCTTGAAATTAAAGCAGCTATAATGAGCAGTTCTAAAGTTGTAGTGATAATAAGTATCAAATGGCTCTGTGAGAACATGAAATAAGTCGCTTGGACGGATGAATCTGCAGAGGATTACAGCCCGATTCTGCTTACAGCTCCTTGGAAACTATTATTAACGCTTATTAAATGTGCACATTTAACTTCTCAACAGAAACACTGTGTTCAAAGGCCTGCTGTGCAAGTTCACCAATGACATATATATAATAATGTGCGGTTTAGTCGAGAAGCTGAAACGGTGATTGATCATAACAAAACATTTTACAGCGAGGAAGCTCGTTGGTTGGGGTTGATTGCTTTTGCTTCTTCACACACATGGCCACTCACTTTGCAAAGCCTTAAATAGTCACATCCTCATTTATTCTTTTAATCACTTGTATGATATGCTTGTGGAGTGAATACTGATGACAATATTAATATTAAAGGACATGTAATGAGTAAACCTGGCCAAAGAAAAAGCCCCATGAGAGTTCTGTCTGTCTATTTAAAAGTGTTTTCAAAATGTTTTTTTTTTCTACCTGATTATGCATTATTGGTTATACATACAGCATACATACAGTCATGGCACAGAGAAAGTATACTTTTTCCTTTTCATTGGATCATTGTCCTGTTGCAGATCTTGATTTCAGTCGAGCTTTAGCTATCAGAGAGATGGCCTCGCATTTGAGTCTAGAATACTTTAGTACGCAGAGGACTTCATGGTTGATTCAATAACTAGAAAGGCGCCTGAGTCCTGATGCTGCAAAACAAGCCCAAATGCTCACTCCTCCACCACCGTGCTTGACGGGTGATATGAGATGTTTGTGCTGATTGGTTTTCACCAAATGTGGCTGCTTCATCTTTCAGTTGTTCCCTTTAGGGGTCCTCTGTCACACCAATACGCTGCCCGTCCTCCTTCATTACATCATGACCCTCCTCTGATTCTTAAACATCGACCATCCCTCCTCTTCACAGGTCCAAACTTCCCTCTTTAACTTTGTCTCCAAACAGCTCAACCTGAACTTCCCTTTTACTCTTTATCCTTCTGTCAGGATACACCCCTGACACTCCCCATTCTGTCTGCACTTTTCGCTATCCTACATTTATCCTCCTCTTTTACTTTATTCATGAAACCCTCAACGCACACCTTCCACCTTCTCAACACACTCTCTTCACTTCTTAGTACATTTCCATCTCTATCACATCCTTCCTCTGCCTCTCCCTTTCTTAGTGTCCAGCCTCACAACTCACTACAAGCCTTTTCCTTTGTCACCTCTCTCTTTGCTGTACACCTAGCCTCCCAGAACTCCTTCTTCATCTCCCTAATTATCCAACTTTTTCTTTGCTGACCTCTTCCTTATGACCCTTCCCAGATTGATAGACAGCCACAGATGCTTCCCTAACATCATTGCTGATGCTCCAGAGCAGCAGACTGCCAAACGTCTGCTTTGGTAGAAGTGTTCGCACTTGTTGATGATCGTTTAATCAAGTGCATTCTCATATCCTCATATGTAAAATCTAAAAACTGACAGTTTGTGCTCTTCTTTTTACCATGACTGTAACAATGACCAAGACTTTATATAAGAGATGAATTTAGATCCTAAATTTGAAAGGAGGCGGTGACTCCTGTCATTGCGTAAATCTCATATTTTAGTCACAATATAAAATGGAAAACACATCAAATGTTTGAATTGAGAAAATTTGCTGTTAAAATTTTGATTGCAACAACATGTCTCAGAGGAGTTGGGGAAGGAAAAGTAAGTGGTTCTAAAAGGAAATATTTTGCAGTTAATTGGGTTAACTGGAAACAGGTCAGTAAGACTATTGGGTATAAAAAGGAAATGGTAGAGAGGAAGAGTTTCTCAGATCTAAAGATGGGTAGAGGTTCAATCTGCAAAGAGTTTCAGAACGTTCCTCAGTGAACGGTTGTGAAGACTTAGACTTATTTCATCATCTATATTTCATAATATCATCAAAAGAGTCCGAGAATCTGGAGGAAATCTTGCTGTGTGCAGGAGACAAGGCAGAAAATCGATATTGGATGCCTGTGATCTTTGAGCCCTCAAGCAGCACTGAAATCAAAACAGGAATGACATTAAAATCACTGCATGGGCTCAGGAACACTTCCTGAAAGCGACTTCTGTGAACACAGTTCATTTTATAATCCAGTAATGCTGCTTAAAGCTCAATCATACAAAGAAGAAGCCACATGTGAGCATGATCCAGAAACGTCTCCATCTTTTCTGAACCGATACTCACTTAAAATGCACTGAGGCAAAATGGAAAACCGTTCTCTGGTCAGATTAATCAAAATTTGCTAATTTTTGTATTTTTTCAAAAACATGGATGTTGCATCCTACAGGCTAAAGAGGAGAGAGACCAAAGAAGCTCTGCTGTAGTGTTCACGGGCACTTATCTCCACTTTAAGACTGAATTTAAAATGTAAAGTTGCCTTTTTGCAGTTCTATATTGAAGTGTTTTTAGGCTGAGCTAAAGGTTTTATTGTGTCTTTGCCAGAAAATAATGCGCACTACTTTCTGCTCTCTTGCTGCTCTCCATGGTGCTGACCTGGTGGACTATGAACTGGTTTGCATGAGGCCTGTGCTATTCTTAGTGACAGGGACACACACACACACACGGACAAACGCACACACACATACAATCAGACAGGCGGGGTCATTCTGCAGACTGAGCCCGTGCAGAGTTGGGCTACAACAAACTAGAACGAGTCGAGAAACATGCCGCTGATGCCATTTTCTCCAGACTACTTTCCTCTATCATTTCCTCCAACTTTCAGCGCCGTTTCTTTACTTGTTCTGCACAGCCAACAAGATGACATCAAGCTTCTGTGCCTTTAACATGGAAACATCTTTGTGAACAAAGTTTTATAGTTTAGAGGAAAATGGGGCGGCAGAAGATGTGCTCGGAGTTTCCTTCCTGGATCAACTCAAAGATCAGACACAGAGGGAAAGTTTTGAACAACCTCTAAACTCTGCCAGACTCGGTCCTCAGAGGGAGGAGGAGACATGAGGGTGTTTAACCGGGGTGTGCTGATGCTTCTGACCACAGCAGGGGCTTTCTGTGCCTTCAGCCTCATGACCATCGCCGTGGGAACGGACTATTGGCTGTACTCCCGAGGGGTGTGCCGCTCTAAGACCCTGAGCGACAACGAGACGGTCCGCAAGAACGAAGAGGTCCTGACCCACTCCGGTCTGTGGAGGACCTGCTGCACGGAGGGTGGGAGTCACACTACACCTGCATGTGGTTTCACATTAGAAGCTTATAAAACAGCCCAGAGTGAAACACAACAAAAATGGTCAATCTAAACATAGTAAATATGCACTATGGTGTGTTTATGTGACTATGACTTGTTAATCTAATAAATTAAATAGGATATAAATGGGCAACTCAATATTAAATAGCAATAACACTGTCGGTTCTTACAAGCAGGTCTCTAACTGGCTGATTATATAAACAAAGCTGTGCATCATGTTTCTCTATCGGGTGATAATTGCTACATCGATAAATCATACAACAGCAGCTACATAGTAATAGTATTACAAAGTATTACAACATAGTAATAGTATTACAAAGTATTACAACATAGTAATAATATTACAAAGTATTACAACATAGTAATAGTATTACAAAGTATTACAACATAGTAATAGTATTACAGACCTGAAAATGTTCTGCACTCAACAGTTCAGTGGAGTATTTATATTCTGTATCACGAAAAGTAGAAATCCGACATAAAAAATACCCTGTTATAGTGATTGTAACTATAAATATGTGACTAATATGTAAAAACTATTTTTTACTTGCACTGTGCAGATGATACCACTATACATATACCAAATGTTTGGTGCATACATTTTAATTTGTAGCTAGTTGGTAAATAATAAAGTAAAAATGTTAGATTTCCTCATACTTGATAACAAATATTGTTTCAGGCTTTTTTAAATATTTGATCTTGACTAGACTTCACCAAGATTTCATTAAAGACTCTTTGCAGACAAACGCCATTTAAAATACACCTGAGGCCATCTCTCCTTTTTTATAGCTTCATTAAACTCTTAAACACAGAAATCATTCAGAGGAAAAAGGCTTGTTGTTACAGACATCTCATATTTGCACTTTGATGCCTCTGTGATTAGATTTTGATTGTTTGCTGCAGTCATGAGGACACATCTTAAAGAAGACTATAGAGAAGGTTTAGTCCTGGCTATATGATGGATAGAAATGACATTTTTAATTATTCATTTCTCTTTAATAGCCCTACCAATACTTCTCTCATCCTATATCCTTGGTTCTGTTTTGCTTTGCTAAGTTTCTGAATGAAGAGAAAATGCTTGGCTTTTCGATTTCCTCCTCACTTCCCTTGCATCCCCTCCCTCTGCTGCTGCCCCTGCCGCCTGTAAAACCAAGCCAACCTAAAAAAGGATTAATGGAGAAGAAACAGAGCATGCAGAGGTCATCAGTGCTTTAACAGTCTGGTGTGACTGCGTGTTGGTCAGTTCGCCTGCATTGCAAAAAAAAGCCATAAACAGGCAGATAGATGAAGATAATCGTGATGCACGAAAAAAGCGCTCAGAGACAAATTTGTTGTTGAGCCAGATGGAGACAGATGATCTGATCTCTTGTTTCTAATGTGACAATAATTTGAATAACCTTACACCTCACATCTTTTTTTTCTCAGCCCTATTCGCCGCAGCTTATCTGTTGTTAATGAATGAGTTTTGTTTTGGTAACCATGGGGACCGAGCCACATCATCGATACTGGTCAATCAGGGCGGGCTCACAGGGACACATTTGTCAATACGATCCTGTGTGCGCAAATACTAAAAGGCATCTCGCGGCCAAAGGTTACAAAGGCTGATGTTTGTATTTCCAGGCATCATTATAATGCATCAGAGCCTTCACGGCTTACGAGGGTTATTATCTGTCTGTGCCATATACAGTAGCGTTGAGCGATAGTGGAATATTTGTCTTTTCACTTGAGACAAGCTAAAACTAAAAGTGATCACATGACATGAGTGAGTGTGGACAGCCACTGCAACACTGTGTCTTCCAGGTTTAAAATCTGATAGGCTGAACAAGTGAAGCCATAAAGTGACTCTTTGGGCATGCTCATAACTCACAAGCACAATATAAACACAGTAAAGGGCCACAAGAGGGCACTGATTCATGTTAAACGGTTAGAAGGTGGACAGGTTGAGTAAAAACCGACCTGAGAAGATACCTGTGCATATTTTACATTTGCATCAAGTACAGAAGAAGAGGGAGACAGGGGAAAATGACAAAGCTGAGCAACTTTTGTTACAAAATGATGTAATTGTCTGATTTTCTGTTTTCAGGGACATTTCGGGGTGTTTGCAAGGACATCGATCACTTTCCTGACGATGCAGACTACGAGCAGGACGCTGCTGAATACTTACTGCGTGGGTCTCAAATAATTGCATGAACTTTTAACAGCTGTGATGACAGTGTGAGGTATTTGCGTGGTGTCTTAATACCCTCGTTCTCCTGTCCTCTGCACAGGAGCGGTACGAGCCTCCAGCCTCTTCCCCATCCTCAGTGTGGGGTTATTATTTCTTGGGGGTGTCTGCGTAGCTGCCAGCGAGTTCTACAAGTCACGCTATAATGTCATTCTCACTGCGGGTATACTCTTTGTCTCTGCAGGTCAGACACACAGAGTTGTTTCAGCAGCATGATTATTATTGTGGCTCTTCATTCAGTCCCTTATTAATTCTGAAACACATTTAAAAGCTTTTTGTCAGTGATGTTAGATTTTATGTATACCCCCCCCCCTTTTTTTTTTTATACTGTTATTAATTATGTTTTTCTATGTTAGTCTTTCTGGTATTTTCTTCAGGTGTTTTAATGGTTGTACTTTCTTGTTGTATGGAGGATCAAAAGGGCCAAAAATAAATAATGATTGAACGACTCAATAATTCTCTATCATTAAATTCATCAAAAGTAATATTAACAGCAAAAGGAAATAAAACATTTTTTTTTTTTAAAAACACAATAAAATAAAAATAATGGAAATAAATGGAAATTCATTTAAAGGTAACAAAAATACAAAAACAATAAGAAAATCAAATAGAAACAAGAATTGGTATCATATTTAATTAATTATTGTATTCATTCAGCATTTTTTAACCATTATTGTTATTTCTGGTGCATTTAACTGGTGTCTTTAATTTTTTTAATTTAACTAATTAAATTTACATTTTTGCGCTTTTAGTCCTCCATAGATTGTAGCGTGTCAGTCAACTGCAAAAATTCCTCCACAAATAAACATCTGACTGACCCTCTTCATCTCTATGAACACTACTGCAGGTCTCAGTAACATCATTGGCATCATTGTGTACATATCAGCCAACTCAGGTGACCCCAGCCAGAGCGACAACAAGAAGAGCTACTCCTACGGCTGGTCCTTTTATTTCGGAGCTCTGTCCTTTGTGCTGGCTGAGATGGTGGGCGTCCTGGCAGTGCATGTGTTCATAGAAAAACACAGACAGTTGCGCACTAAGGGCCGGCCTTCGCTCATGAAGCCGCCCATCTCTCGAAGCTCATCGTATTACCGCAACCGTTACTATCAGAACCGCAGCCGCCGGTACAGTTACAGGAGCAACCACAGCGCAGGGGACCCGCACTCCTTCCGAGCATCACTCAGCCGTGACCGGGAGCCGTCCATCTCCGCTGAATCTAAAGTCACCACCATGGCAGGTTTGCCGAAACCAGTGTCAGTGGGCTCAGAGTTCATGCTCTACGCTTTAACCTCGCCTCTCAAAAACAGTAAGATAGACATGGCTGTGGATCATTTAACAGCTGCAGCTGCTCACAACAACACAGAGATGCTGCCTGGAAACTGCGCTTCCAACAGGAGGACCACACCTGTCTAAGAAGAGAGTCCCTGTAAGGCTGAACGTTAGTCGGAGGAGAATAAGCTTTCTCATGTTCTTGCTTGCAAAAGAGAGACATTGTAGACAAGTGCAGGGCTTAGCCTGCCAAATATTTTTTTATGAACTCTTCAGTCAGTCATATGTCAAGAAATAGTGGGAAAACTGCCATTACAATCTCCCAGAGTCAGTCCAACAGTCCAACACCAGGATATAACTTGGGGTGCAATCAGAAAGTCCAGTTACTCCAACCATTAAAACCAGAAACCATGTCTGGTTTAAATTTAGCCAATCTCCCCTTCAAGTCTGCTCCTTCTGCAGCTCTGGAATTAAATGGGCGGTGCATTATGTGGTTCAGTGGTTTGCACAGAAAAAGGTCCTGGGTTTGATTCCACTGGCTGGGGCCTTTCTCTGCGGAGTTTGCATGTTGTCCCTGTGACTCTGAGTGCTCACGTTTCCTCCAACAGTCCAAAGATGTGCATGTTAAATTCTGATTTGTCAGTCTCTCTGTGTTACCCCCTGTGGCAGATTAGCAACCTGTTCATGGTCTCCTCAAACTCTTGCCCCATGACAAGCTGAATAGGCTCCACCAGTGCAAGGAACAGTTTGGAGTGAAAGTTCCCCACATGAAGGCAGTGCATCGGATTAGAATGATAGTTATTTCTTAAGATATTTGCTGGGGCTTGCACTAATTCAGAATGAAATCCGGGATGAGAACTTCAGTGCGAAGCTCTACTCTAAAACCTGAAGCGTCCAATAGAGTATCTGGTGGAATCAACCTGAACTGGTTGCTTCCAGTCTTCAATCTGCAACTAGCTGCAACTTTTTCATCTTTCACATAATTATATATAAGCTAAGGGTCAGCATTTTGACATGGTGGAGGAGATCCAACATGCACTGTTGAAAGAAAAGTTGAAGTGGTCAGAACAGGGCGTGCAGGGAAGGGTTTAAAATAGGAGCTGTAGGCTTGCAGCACTGCCCAAAGACATGCCCTGATAGGGAAGATGTGTCACATTTAAATCAGGTTATGGTTCACAAGCTGGCACCGCAGAACTTAATGATTGCATCTCCTGATGAAACAAAGCAAGAAAATAAAGCTGTTTGAGATGTTGAAATCAGAGGGACCTTGTCGTTTTTTACTGGAACAATTTTAAAAATGGTCCATCGATGATTTAAATAGTTGCAGAATGTTGTGCAGTTAATTCACTTATCGTTTCAGTTCAAGCAACCAGCTGATCTGTATATTTGACACTCGAAGGAAAAATCAAAGCAAACAAAAACTGAACTTTTAAAAAATAGATTTGTCTCAGTTTTTGTGAGTGTGTGTGGAGTAATAGTCAGTCAGAGAGAGAGACAGAAAGGGAGAGGTGCCCGTGAGGAAATAGAAACATTTACAGAAAATACAAAACGCATGAAAGCAACTGAGAATGAATGAATGAATGTCCTGCTCCTGTAGCCTCATTTTTTGTGGACCTATTGCAGAAGATCGAAAACCCATTAAGTGCATTCGAACTCTCTCTGTCTCTCCATGTGTCTAATTGTGTGGCTGAGTGAGTTTTTGTAGCATGTGAGCGTGCATAAGCCCACTGAAAGGGTCTGCCCTCATGGTTATGCCACTTTCTATGTGCCTTAAAGAAAGCTTCAAAACTCACATCACAAAAGGTGCTTTTTAAAAATTGTACAGGACATCTCAGTTTCTGGCATCTGTATTTGCAAGAGAAACTAAGAGAATATTGAAACACAACCCAGCACAGAAGCAAAGGTTTGAACAATACTGATAAACAAAAACAGTTTATCAAAAAAAGGTGACCTCTCCTGTGCTGAGTAATATCAGGGCCTTATTGTGCCTGAACATGCATGAATTAGCTCCGTTACATCTGATGGCAGGGCAGCACAAACAGACACACGTCTGAGAAACCTCAGGTGTTACCATGGCAGCAATGGGATTCAGGCTAGAATTCAAGGTAGGTTATGAATACGCTCACACAAGAAATTACCTGAAAGCACAACTGACTACTTCGGCTACTGTTTCAGCTCCACAAGCTATTTATCGCTACTACACTGCACAGAGTCTACTGTCCAAGGATCCACATGGAAGTATTTAAGTAGTATTTCAAATATTTTTACTAAAAGTAAAAAAAAAAAAAAGTGCAAACAAAGGATTCAAACTAATGCCTCAAACAGACTGGAGCCTCTAATCAGAAAGCTTCAATATGATTTAGTTACTAAGCAAACAAAAGTTAAGTTAATGAATAAATTACCAGCAGAGACCAGCCTGCAGTGTCTGAAAGGAGAATGGTGAAGCCAAAGAGACTGATAACATCAGGCCAGCTAACATCAAGATTTACATTTCTTGGGCAATACTCTACAGAAATCATGGTAAAAAAGGTCAAGAGTCAAGAATGGACAAGAATCTAGAGATGGCACGATACCACTTTTTTATGTCTGATACCGATACCGATATCATAAATTTGGATATCTGCCGATACCGATATGAATCCGATATAGTGTTTTTTAATCAACAAAACTGTTTTTTAAAAATATCTTGCTGCATTTTGCAAGTCTGCAAGTTCATACTCAAGTTTAAAACAACAACTACACTAAAGCTATTCTGTTATACCTGTATGCAAAAAAAAAAATTTCATAGTTCAGCAATACTGATCAATCTAATAAACTTAAACCTACACCATCATCCCTATTCTGGTATTTTAAAGAGTACTTAGCGTAAATATTAAGCAACCTAACTAATAGGGTTCCTATTGCACAGTTACCAGCCGTCAGCTACGTAGAAAAAGATCCTGGTGTAGAAAGTAATATTAAATAAATTCTAACAACAGCTTATCAAGCTTAAACGTGCTGCTGTTGTTCAGCCGCTGGTTTGCTCTTTCTGGTGCGAAGTGGGCCAAAAACAAAGACGGACTCGCGACAGAAAAGCTGATCATTTAAGCAGTTTCACGATTGAAGTACCAGCCGGAGAGCGAGAGGCAGTCGCTCGTTAAGCTTAGCGTGGGAATGCTTTACAAACATTCAGAGATGGACTTACACGCTTGCTTTACTTCTCTCGGGGATAACTTTGTCGGAGATGAAATGCTAGCGGAGATGAAATGCCAGGTTGCTAGCGAAGCTCCACATGCTATCCAGACCACCGACAGGTCCCGCATTCCACAGCTGCTCTATCACGTGATGCACACTGCTCCAACTGCTAACGTTCTGCGGTGAGTTACGGCGTGTTGCAAGTTTTGTGAGGTGCTTTCGTGATATTTAATGGATCGGATTACATTTTTTATTTTTCTCCGATATCCAATCCAGTCATTTAGGTCAGTATCGGACCGATACCGATACGTAATATCGGATCGGTCCATCTCTACAAGAATCTATTGAAAATTTCAGCAGACCAATTTTTATATATAACTGTTGAAGTGAGAGCCGAGTAGGCTTAATATTATAGCTGGATTGGTTGGTTTTGTCTGCTGATTAAATTAAACGAAACAACAAGTTTGATCACAATCTGTAAAACCAAAGGAGTGCGCTAAAAGTCACTAAAATGTTTGGCATATCAAAAGAACTGACGAACCAACTTTTTTTTTTCCTACTACTTTTCTCTGAGGAGGTGCACTCGAGGCTCTTAATTAAAGAATGGGTTATAAATAGAGCAGCAAGCTTTGTGAAGCCGCTGCTTTTCTCTCATTGAAATGGGAACTTCCAGTCACTACTATATTAAGATCACAACTTGCTGTGAGGTATCTGTAATATGTTTCAGTTTCCTTCAGACTTTACAACAACGTCCCAAAAATGTCACCACTTGCCTTTCCTCTTTAACACTAGCATTTGTATCAGGACATCATTGGTTATTTATGAAGACCTGAAGCACAAAAACATTTCTACTGTGTTTTACAGGAAATGGGATGAATCAGCAAAATAAAGGTACTGCTTAAAGTCATCAGGATCTGATATTTTTCCACCACTGAAGAAACAAAACAAATACAATGAATAAATTTTAAAAAAATTCCCAGGCAAAGGTAAATCTAAATTAAAGGGTTATTTTTGCAAAATGTCAAGCAAGGTATCTTAAAATTAGAGGTACAAACTTTAAAAGAAATCTCTGAAACATCTCCTTGCTGCATAGAATATATTGTATAAAACAATACTTTACAGTTTTATACAATAAAGACAAAAACAACTGATTCTCGAGAGGATGGATGGTAAAGTGGTAAAGAGTTTCAAGTCCATATTACATTATTTAATATTATTTCTAACAAATTAATTGTACAGTGTAAGGGTGTGACTTTTTTTAGTGACTGAAACAGGTTTCCATACACATATGAAATGGTTATTTTGTTTTAAATGACATTGCTTTAAAATGAATTTAAATACATGTAATATAACCAAAATGTATATTAATTATCAATAAAACTTTAGTGCACTAATGTATAATTGCCATGAACTAACAATCAGTTAAAGTTACAATTTAAAACACAAAATCCATCCATCTACAAATACCAGTTGCCCAGCATCCAGCCATCTTTATTGTCCCGTCTTCCTCCCTTCACTCCTAACTCAGGTGACCGATTCGGCCAGAGATTTCTTCCTGTTAAATTGACTTTTTCCTTTCCACTGTCGCCAAGTGTTTGTTCATAGGGGATAGTGTGATTGTTGTTGTTTTGGGGTTTTATATATTATTTTTGGTGTCTTTCTTTATCTTAAAATATAAAGTGTCTTGAGACGACAGGCTCTTGTGATATAGCGCAATATTACGAAAATTAAATGATTAGTGTACAGATATTGTGGGGTTTCACTCAGTTAACTTTTTTGAGCAATAAAAGCTGAGGGTGGCAGTAAAATGCAACGCCGCAGCTGCCACTTTTCATTGTCTCAAAGAAGAATCAGACACTGGCGACATCCGGTTCCGTCCAGCGCCATTTTGATGAAACAGCGAGGAGACGATCGTCTGGGATCAGCGACATGGATTTAATGGATTTACACTGAAGAATCATCCGGATTCAAAACTTTATTTTCTGTGGTGGGACATAACCGTGGAGTGAAGAGGAACCTTTTCGTCCTGACTGCAGACGGTGGATTTTTGCCCCAAAGTTTAGCGTGACACCATTGTCAGCAATAGCAGCGTTAGCCGTTAGCTTTTGTTAGGCCTGCTTTCATGTTGTGTTGAGTTGCGTTAGCTAATCTCGAGGTGTCGCATGTTAGCCTTGACATTAGCTTAACATTTACACGGAACATTTCGATTTAAGATTAACCTTTTCGGAGGGGTCTAAACAGTAGTGTGACTCCTGTGGACTGGCCGTGGAGCATTTCACGCAGTTTTGTGGACTTTTTGTGGAGCTCGGTGGTGTTTTGTTTCTATAAATTACAAACTGTACCGAAAAGGCAAAACACTACCGCGAGGACTGGGGAAGCCCCAGGCCCGCTGCTAGCTGCAGTGCGGCGGACCGGGTTTTCCAGCAAGGACAATTCACGACGGACTTAACCTCATTTACCCATGTAACATATTCACACTGTGCTGCATGGACTCTCTTGGATTTGGTGGCACCTTGTTGTATTTTCTTGGACTTTAAAGAACTGAAGAGGCACACGGCGCCGCTCCATGGCGCTTTGGCCTCGCTGCTCGATTATTTTTCATTTCCAGTAATAATGACTGTGTCGTCATCTGCGAGCTCAACCTTTTCCCCATATTAGTCCTTTCTTTGTCCAGTGTTTCAGCGAATAATACAGAAGGTTTACCCATTAAAGTCACCAGATTTAGCCTCCTGTGTTCAGTGTTGACGCTTTCATTTTGTTATACCAGGCCTGTGTTTTTTTTCTTTGTTCTTAACTTGATAAGTGCTTAGACTTGTTTAAAAAAAAAAAGAGAGAGAGAGAGAAAGAAAAATCCAAACAAAACAAAAAAAAATGTCGTGTGTTCACTATAAGTTTTCTTCCAAACTGGACTATAATACAGTCACTTTCGATGGGCTGCATATCACTCTCAGCGAGCTTAAAAGGCAGATTATGGCCCGGGAACGGCTCAAGGCCACAGACTGCGACCTGCAGATCACCAATGCGCAGACTCGAGAAGGTACGCCATGAGCTGACTCTTTACATTATGGGAGAAGCATAATCAGATACTTTGGGAAGAGGCAACGCATGATATCTACGTATAGGGCTTTTGCTGGGAAAACACAAACAGGGCTAGAATATGTACAAATCCATTGGGATCTACAACATGCCTCTAATTTCTTTAAAACAGTTTGACATTCTAGGATTTACTTTATTTGTCCCAAGCAGTTTCATGTACACTGAACCTCCAATCTAATATTTGAGAACGAGCTTTTAATGTCTATTTTTGTAAAGGCTTTGTCATTATTTAGTGCTTATTTTAACTGTCACAGCTATTCAGCCTTAGTTGAAGCCCTGGGATCACATAAGCTGTAAATACTGGGATTTTTCTGTATTTCATAAATATTTTGTAAACTCATTGGATTTCTGTTCTGTGTGGTGTTTCACAGAATACACAGACGATGAAGCCCACATCCCAAAACACTCGTCTGTGATCGTCCGCCGCACCCCGATTGGTGGAGTAAAACCTGCTGGCAGGACGTTCATTGTGTATGTATACATAAAATCTAACGTTGCAGCCTGAGTCATGATTACAGTGTAGTCACCAGTGGATTTTAAATGATAGAGAAATCTCTAGGTTATGTTTGTTCCTTTTGTGCCAGTAGCTTACTACTTTTTTTCTGTTTTCCGCAGAGATCGTTCTGACACAGCTGTGGTGGGACCTCCTAGACCCGTATGTAAAACAAAACCCAAAAACAACACACTCTCCTTCCTCACCCCTCTGTCTCTCTCTCGCCCCCTTCTTTCTGGCTTTAGTCACCTTTCTCAAGAACATCCTGTCAACAATGATAAAGTTGTATCTTCTGTTCACTGTGTGTTGGCTACATTTGTGTTGAGCTCTCGACCTCTGTGTGTTATTTGATGTCTTTTTTTGAGGAGGGTTTCCTGGAGTCACTAAGGTTAAAGTAGTTTGTTGTTTCTCTCTAAAAACCCGGGTTGTCTGCCTTTTTTTTATTTTGAAATGAACAAATTAAAAGTACACTGTGTGAATGAGATGAGGCCGCTAAGAGAAACAACAGACTAGCCACCATGTTTTTGTAATGCTCTGAACTGAAACTGTTGATAATTAACATGGCAAGCAATTTAAACTGTTAATGACTGTATTTCATAATGAAATGGTTATGTAGCCTGATTTATGCCAGGCAAATGTTTTGAAGGGGTTTGTAAAAGGAAGTATGGTATTTTTGTATTCATAATACATTGTCATTTATTTTCTGTGAAAATATTTTCTGTGGTTTATAAACCCAAAGAAGGAAAGTGTGATTAATTTATATAAACTTATCTTACATAATGAGTGGAATAGATTTGCCACTGACTCTTATTCATTTTATGAGCTTAACCTGCTAAACATACACATTCTCAGATATTTTGTTAAGTCAAAACTTCTGTCATTTATTTTGTCCTGTACAATTTAATCATGAAGATGTTCTGTTCTGCACTGAATATGGACTGCACATAACCCTTAAACTTTGAAGGCTCGCATTTACATTGCTGTGCTGAGATACACTGAATCTAGCCAGATTCCTCAGTGCCTCTTGTGCAAGGAAACCAGTTCAAAGTGTGTTTTTGTTTGTTTTTTTGTTTGTTTTTTACAAAACTGTGGTTTTTTGGGGGGGATCATTACGAAGCTAGACCACACTGTGCTAAGACACAGTATCAGTAAATATCCTTCCATGGTTGCTGCAGTGCAAAGTATGCTGGTGTAGTGTGTCCTGTAAGCTGTAAGCTGCAGACCCTGTCAATAAAGTTGTTGAGTGGTTCAGTGTCAGAACCGCTTGCACCAGATCCCTGTGTGTTCCCTCCACAGCTTTCTGCAATACCCAGTGTTTCCTCTGAGCCTGCTTATCATGATGGATATCCCACCCTGCTGGCTTTTTTGTTTACTAACATTTAGCCTTTATTACTTAAAAAAAGAAGAGAGATCAAATTTTTTATGTGGGTGTAAAATGTGACCCTTTGTCCACTCTTGACAGAACCATCCCTCCTCCGCTTTCTGTCGTGACGTTGGTGGTGTTGTAGGGCTGTTAAAGGGAACAGGTTAAGAGAATAAGTGACAACAGCGGTTACTTCATTTTCCTTCCACCAGGCATTTTTTATTTCACCCACCCCCTCAAAAGAAAGATCTCTACACTTGTGCCTTATCAGCTCTACATACTTGACAGCTTCCTGTGTCTGCATTTTTTTTTTTTTTTAAAAATAGGTTGGCTCTGCTCCTTGCTAGCTCATTAGTTTACAGAAAGCATTCTTGAACTTTTTGATGAGTTTTGAATATTTGTGACAACTTCGTTTGACAAGCTGGTGCAAAAACTTAAATTGCTGTGCCCTAGTGAGGGGAAACTGCATACTTAAATTAAATGTCAAGTATTCCTTTGAGAAAATTGCCCTCTGCTACCCACTGCAGAAGAAGCTTTGGATATAGGATTTAGAGGGATGTGTTGGTAGTATTTGCTGATAAGCCCCAAATACTTAAGGAGGCGTGATGTGTTTAAGCAGAAGCTCTTGGACATTACCATAGTTAAAGGCTCGGAAGACTTGCATATGCTAAAGAACAGCAAAAGTACATGTTTTTACAATTTTCTGTCTCGTCATGAGTTCTTAAACATGCGACTAAAGCGCACAATCTCATTCAAATTTTTTTGGTGCTGTAATACTTTTGTTGCTTTGCAAAGGCAGTAGATAATACATTCAGTATGGAGTTTGCATCACATCACTGTGTGTTTTTTGGGTATTTGTATTTTACTCTATTCCCCCCCAAAGATCTCATCCATGTAAAAATCTCTGAAAAGACACAAGCTTAGAAGAGGCTTTCAGAGTATTAGTTTTTTTTCCTTCTAGATTTGCTGACTATTTAGAGGAGTTGGACTTAAAACGGCACGCACCACTTGTAATCCACGTGTTGATATTTTTTTTATTTCTTTTGTTAATTGCTACTCGTGCATTACCTTTATGTCAGGCACTTTGGAGGCTAAACAGAGGTGCTAATTTTGTTTGAAGAAACAAACGGAGGCTCTAAGGGATTGGTCACAGATGTGGTGGGGAACTGTCGGGGCTCTTGTCTTCCAGTGTGTCTAAAATCTATCATGTTAATACCTTTTAATATATGTGCTCTGATTCTCCTGCAGACGGACTCTTCTCCTTCATTGTCGTTCGCCCAACTTGCGAAGGTACTGTTTCTGTGTATGCTTGCTGTAACGCCAGAAAAGCTAAAAAGATGGGTTGTTTTTTTTGGTTTTTTCTTGAGGGGTTGACATTGTTCTGATTCTTATTTCTCTTCTAAATCAATGTTTTAGACTGCTAACCTGGTTGATGCAAATGCATCCGAAGAGGACAAGATTAAAGCCATGATGACTCAGTCGAATCACGAATATGATCCAATACAGTTAGTATACAATCGCCACACTTGAGCATCTAATTAAATTCAAAATGAAGCATGTAATGTGTATTTCAATTCATTGTCTAGCTGGGCGTGTGTTTAACTCTGTAACTTGTGCCTCCAGTTACTCCAAGAAGGCAGTCGGACCTCCACCTGCTCACTACACCTGCTTTCGTTGTGGAAAGGCCGGTCACTACATTCGGCAGTGCCCCATGCTAATGGTAATTAACAGTATTGTTTGATCTTTGTCTGTGTTGCTATATTTTACAACATTGTTGTGTAACGTCTAAAAAAGTAACCGTCATGTTTTGGTTAATGTTAATTTTTGTTGTTTTGGGTTTTCTTTTTTTGCCTTTTTACATTTTGAGGTTCAGGATAAAAGTGTGGAGGGTCCCAAGCCAGTACGAATTAGTAAGGGGATACCACAGAGCTTCATGGTGAAAGCAGAGCCAGGTGCCAAGGGAGCCATGTTAACCAGCACAGGAGAATACGCCATACCTGCTATAGATGCGTACGTGCCAATCACTGACATACGCCTACACATGGAGTTTCATATACACTTTATAGCACATTAAGTTATGTCTTAGTTGGTAATTATCCATATTGCTGGTGCATTTGTTTTGTTAACAGGGAAGCATACGCACAGGGAAAGAAGGAGCGCCCTCCATTTGTTCCACATGAACAGTCGTCATCTGAGGATGAAAACGATCCAATCCCTGACGAGCTCCTGTGTCCGATCTGCAATGACCTGATGACAGATGCCGTAGTCATACCTTGCTGTGGAAACAGCTACTGCGATGACTGTGAGTTCTCAAAATGTAGACGATAAAAAAAGATTTTAAGTGATTTTTTTATTTATTTATTTTTTTGTGTGCGTGAGCTTTTGTCTAAATAAGATCCGTCTGTTTTCAGGTATTAGGACTGCCCTGTTGGACTCAGAGGAGCACATCTGCTTCACGTGCAAACAGTCAGATGTGTCACCTGATAATCTCATTGCCAACAAGTTTCTTCGACAGGTAGTGCTTTCAAACGTTTGCAGTCTGATGTGGTATTAGTTTAATTTGACTGTTTTTGTAAGTGCTGGATTATGTGTTTGCCTTCTTATGTAGGCTGTAAACAACTTTAAGAATGAGACAGGATACACCAAACACGGGCGCAAGCAGGCCCAACACACAGCTCCGCCTCCACCGCGGCCACAGCTGGTCAGGCCTCTGCACTCGAGACAGCAGGACCCGCTGCTGGCCAATGTCACTCAACCACCTCCTACAAATGTACCAACCACCACGGCCCCTCAAACACAGGCCCCACCTACTGCACCTGCTCCTTCTGTTCCTTCTCCTGCACCACCTGCTGCGTCTACTCCACCCCCTGCTTCTCCTTCCCCTGCTGCTGCTTCTATTGTCGAGGAAAAAGAAGCTTCGCCAGTCCCTGCACCGGCTGTTGATCGCCGTTCTCCTATGCACTCGACCAACTCCACCGACCAGGGTGAACCACCCCCACCAGGGTAAGTTTACACTGAGATATTCCATGAAAAATTCAGTTCAAAGAAGCCTTTCTTGCCAGACACTGTCTCTATTTGTGTTTCAGGGAGACGCGTCCAGAACCTAAAGGGACAACTGATTCATCAGGACCCTCAGAAAGTGGCTCACAGGTGGGTCCTTCCTGAATAGTGACTTGTTTGCGAGGTTATGTTAGTTAGAGCACCAAAACATAGGTTTTTCATCATGTTAACCTTTTTCTCTTTCTCTCTTTTTAAAAAAACCCCATAATTTCTCCCACAGAGCTACACTTTACCAGTGATTGGCCAACTGCCACCTACAAGACCATCTCATCAGTCAGGTCAGAAGATCAATTTATTCATTTAAGCAGATCTGATGAGCTTAAAGGGAAGACATTTGGCAACTAACAGCCTGCCTGCTCTCTGCTCTTTTAGGTCACCATTCACGGACAAACCACTCTCACAGAGTAGGAGCAGTAGCAGCACCAGCAGGCGGAGGTGGCAGACACTGGTAAATCTTGCTTATGCACTATGAACTGTGAAGTGTTTGTGATGTAACATCAGTTCTGTAAAGTCTTTTGTGTACATCTTTACAGGTACCGAAGTAGAGGAGAGCACCCCTCCAGTCGCCTGCACACAGCTCCACCTCCTGTACCTAGTCCTCAGGTGTACCCATCTCCAGCCCTGTATCCACCTCCACCTCAGGCCTACCCTCCTCCATACAGTGCTGGTCCTGGCCTTATTCCTCCTCCTGCTATGAGTTACCAGCCCCAGCCTGTTTATCCCCCTGGACCAACAGTTCTCAACCCCCCCTGGGTTCCCCCTGGTACCCAGCCCCCTCTAGTCCCTCTTCCACCCACCCTCCCACAGCCACCTCTCTGTAAGGAAGACTTCTACAGGCCAAGGCATCACAGACAGGACAAGTGAGTGGGTTCTTTTTGTTTTAGGGGTCTAACGACAGACAGTGGTGGCACATGTGAAAACCATGTAGCACCAGACATAACTCAGGATTGCAATTGTGAACAGTTATTTTCACCACAAGAGACGACCTGGAATGTTTCTGAGTGTTTAATTTTGTTTACATAGGGTTACCTCCAAGCTGGATGAGTTCACTAAAGACTTCCACAAAGAGCTTATGAAATACCGAAATGCACCAAAGAGAAGAAAGCGATCTTACTCCAGGTATTTATTACATAACGAAACTTGTTTATGCACAAAGCTTTTAAAGGCATTTGTTGCATTTTTGCGTAATCCTTCTTTCAACCCTTCATTCACTCTGTTCATTCCTTCTTTTTCCTGCCCGACTCTCTTCTTCCAGGTCCAGGTCATACAGTCGATCTCCATTTAGCCGCTCTCCTTACTCGCGCTCTCGGTCCAGATCAAGATCTAGATCCAGATCCAGATCCAGGTCTTACTCTTATTCACCGAGCCGATCCCGCTCTCGTTCACGATCCCATGGCAGGTCCTATCCTCGCTCGCCTTATTCCAGACGTAACGGACGCAGTTATGGACGCTCACGGTCAAGGTCCCGATCTCGTTCGAGGTCTTATGGGTACCGTCGCTCTGGCTCACCACGATCTCCTCCCTCCTACCGGGGAGGAGGCTGGGAGGGGCCAGAAGGGCCTTACAGGTCTAGGTCACGATCTCGCTCCCCTGGGGCATACCGGAGCCGCAGCCCTGGCGGACGAAAGCTACCCCCACGCGAGCTACCACCATATGAACTGAAGGGTCCGAGTCCCGCAGGCCCCGAGCGCTTTGAAAGGGAAAGGCGCCAGTGGGAAAAGGAGTATGTAGACTGGTACAACAAATACTACAAAGAATACGATAGCCAACACCCTTCACTGCATCACAGAGGTCATGGCAGCAGAGACAGAGAGAGGGACAGATTGTCCCCTTTATCCAGAGATTACTCACCCCAGGGGAGAGGGAGAAGAGGGAGAGAGGAGAGAGCTGGTCCACCTCACCATCCCCCATCCTCTTCCTCGTCAGGGACAAAGTCCAGCACTAAAGTCCTGAAAACAAAGAAGATAAAAAAGAAGAAAGCTGGAGAAGAACCAGAGGCGTCGCAACAGCCGGTGGACAGAGGCGATGCCACTCCGGTCAGAGACGAACCCATGGACGATGTACCGTCACACACAAAAACACCTCCCATCTCTTCAAGGCCTGCTGTTAACACTGCGTCATCTAAAGCCCCGCCCTCTAAGAGCACTGCTTCATCTGTTAAATCTTCAACCAAGTCTGCATCAAAAACTCAATCTGAAAAAACGAAGAAGGACAAAGTTCAGAAAGTAAAGCCTAAAGCAAAGACGGAGCCGGTCAAGGTAAAGCCGGACAAAATGAAGAAAAAGACCGGAGAAGGAGTTTTGGCAAAAAAGAAAGACCCCTCATCATCTTCCTCTTCCTCCTCAGCTGTTAAACCTTTAAAGAGTGTTAAAGCCAAACCAGAAGACACCCACAACTCGACTACCTCTAAAAAAGAAAAGGGTAAGAGCTCCGTTGTGAGGCCTTCACTTGTGAAGACCCCTCCACAGTCCTCCCATAACCAACCTCTGCCTCATCCCCCGCTTCATGACAGCCCCCGATCCAGCCATGACATGCGGGGAAGAAAAAATCTTCCACAGGGCGGTGGTCTCCTTCCTCACCCCCATCAACACGGTCTCCCACTCCTCCCCCGACCTTCATCCCCAGTGGACAACCGGAGGAGGATGGGAGAGGAGGGTCGCTCTTTACTTGGACCTCCTCCCGGAAAGCTGAGGAGAATAGATGGCCTAGGAGGTGGAGTGGATATCATGTCCCACTCGCATTTGCCTCATCAGCCCCCACTCCACAGACTCCCACCTTCCTCTGATAGGCCTGGTATCCTTCCGCATCCAGGGAGCCGCGAGCTTGGCCGGGGTGAAACGGATCGAGCAGCCATTAGACCTCTAATGGACCTTCAGGTAGGTCCTCAGAAACTTTTGTTAAATGTATTTTTCCTACTGATTTCCCCTAATTTAACTCCGTTTGAACATTTTGTTTTTGCATCTGCAGGTTAAGCCAGTAAGAATAATCAAGTTGAACAGAGATATGGGGAGAAGAGGCAGCACTGAGGCAGCGGCCTTGGATGAAACTTCATCTGGTCACGAAAAGAACGCCTCAATCTCAGAGCGATCAGCTGGCACAAGCATTTCTGAAGCAGACCGGCACAGTAGTGCAGCAGAAGTAGCTAGAAGAAAAGAGCGCTCTGCATCTGCGGAGAGGGGAGTCTCCAGAGAGAGACCTGGCAGTGGCGGAGAGGGGCAGCACATCTCAGACAGAGAGCAGGACAGAAGCTGTGGAGTGGACAGAGAGCGAGAGAGGTCTGGTTCAGACAGAGAGCGAGAGAGGTCTGGTTCAGACAGAGAGCGAGAGAGGTCTGGTTCAGACAGAGAGCGAGAGAGGTCTGGTTTAGACAGAGACAGAGGTCAGGGGTCTGACAGAGACCGAGACAAGGACAGAATCTCGGGGTCAGGCTCCCAAAAGGTGGCGGTTGCATCGGAGAGAGACACGGAGGGTGAGAGGGCGTCGAAGGCAGAACGAAAAAACTCAGGCGGCGCGAGCGGGGGAGGCAGATCTGTCAGCCTGGATAAAATGACGATCGGAGAGAAGTCTGCCATCACGAGGAGACAGGCAGACCATCAGGAGAAACCAAGAGCATCTTCTAAGGAGAAGGGCGAGGGCTCAGAAAGAGCCGCTAAACCTGACAGGTCACTACATTTGCTTTTCTGCTTCTCCTTATCCATGACTGAAAGATGCGATGATACATTTGTTCTGTCTGTAAACACAGTTGTTAATAGTTGTAATTATATTCTCTAATTACCCAGGAGTGCGTCCAAGGACAGAACAGAGAGGAGCGTTCCCTCTGGAGAGAAACCAGCTGCTGCTCGCAGAGAAGGTAATTTGAAGCACGAGTCGAGTGTATGGCAGGAAATGATAACTTTGATTTTGTGTCTTGCTATCTAATTACACATTCATTGAACCTTTCCTCTTTCCTCTCACCTCCGTGGAAGCGGTCAAAGACGGGCAGGAGGCTGCTGTAAAGAGCAAACCCAGGATCAGCCGAAAGGCTCTGACAGGCCACATTACAAGCTCCACTAAGTGAGTGCCTTTTCTTTCTTTTTTTTTTCTCCTTATACAGCCTTTAATTTTCACTTCAAAATGTTATGTAGTTTATTTACTTTGTTCCACTCTTCATTTTATGCGTCTGATATTTGCATCTTTAAGTTGTTTCCATTAGGATGGCACGAGAATTTAAATTGTTTCTATCTGTTTCTGTCAGCGGTTCATTAGCAACAGAAGAGGAGTTTGAAAAACGTAATCAGTCTAAAGCTGTTTATTTGGGAGGGCTAGGAAAACTCATTATTTTAGTGTTGCCAAAGCAAAGTAATGAGTTCAGTGGTACAGTGAAACTCACATTGAATTAAATGACTTGTGTAGTTGTGTAATTTTTGTTTTTGTTCTTTGTAAAAATACATTAGACACAAAATATCTTATGATTAGGGTCTAATTATTGATAGTTATTCAATTTTTTTTTAATTTTGTGGACATAAAAATACATTTGTTAAGGTGAAGCAAGTATAAACTGTTGTTGCAGCTCAAGTTTGATAGAAAAGTGTTTCCCAAAGAAAATTGTACTATTGCCTAAACTGTGGTGTCGTATCTGCTCGTATTGAGATGTTTAAGCTTTTCTAAAAACTTGTTTTTCCTTACAAAAGGTCGTCTCATGAAACAAAGCAGGACTCGGAGAAAGACCAGAAGAGTTTGCCTTCGAAACCTGCAGAACAGCCTCCACCGAGCCCCGTAAAAACCCGTGCACGCAGCCCGAGCTTGAGCCCGGTGCTCAGCCTGGCCAGGGAGGAACCGCTCATTCAGCCTCCTCCCCGCTCCAAGTGGGAGAGGGAAGATGACGAAGAAGGCCAGGAAAATGAGCTTAGTGTAACCAAGGAGCCCTCCCCAGTGCTGCAGAGGCCTCGAGGTAGAGAGCTGCAGCAGGAAGCACCTAAGCCTATTAGGACTGAAACCCGGGATGCTACAAGAGAAGAGAGGAAAGGAGCAGTGAAGGAGGAGAAGAAGGGAAGAGCCACAAGGGAAGAGGGTAAGGGTGGTAGGACGGGCCAGACAAACTTGGACAAATCAACCAAAATTAAAATCGTGAGGGAAGAGGGGAGAGGAGTGAGAGAAGAAGGAAGAGCTTCTGCAAGAGAAGAGGAGCGGCGAGGTGGAGGAAGAGAGGAAGGGCGAGTAGCTCCAGGGAAGGAGGAGAGAGCAGCAGAAGTCAGAGGTGGAGGAGGGCGAGAGGAAAGTCGGGCCCCCGAGCCCAGGAGACAGCGTTTGTGCTCCGACCTCGGCCGCGAGACAGACGAGGCAGCTTTCGTGCCCGACTACAGCGAAGGCGAAGGTTCTGAGCCTGAGAGAGGGCGAAGCGGCAGCGCCAGTCTGTCCCTCAGCCAGCGCTCCCACAGCCCCACCCCAAGTAACCACAGCGGCTCAGCCACCACCACGACAGACAAGAAGAAGAAGAAACACAAGAAAGTTAAAAGGCACAAAAAGCACAAGAAACGCAGCAGCCAGGACAAAGAGGCAGAACACAAGAAGCACAAGCACAAGAAAAAGAAACGCAAAAAGAACAAAGACAAAGATGGGGAGGAGGATGAAGAGGGCAGAGAGAAAGGCTCTGCATTAACAGAGGCATAACTCAAAGCTGCAAGGAGATTAGGACGTAAAGATAACGGCTAACGCTGGCATCCTGCTACAAGGAAACTGATAAATGTCAGCTGTTCTGATGCTTCCTGTCTCTGCAGCTCTCCACGGTACCCTTGTTCCTGTAATGCAGAAAGACTGCAGCTGAGGTCTCTTCAATATTCAATGTGAACGTCTTTGCAGATTCTGGGCTGGGGAACAACTGGGCAGCGACGCTGTGCTGTTGTGGTCAAACTAGAGCTGCAGGACTCTGACGTGAACTGCTATGCTATGAATAACAAACTGTGCTCAGGGATGTGATTTCTTTTTGGCAGAGGAGGAACTGCAGATTATCTGCCTCTGATTCATTTGTAAATATAGATTAAATCTTGCTTTATGTAATAAATTCTCCTCAGTTTGTTTTGCTCACATCCCTGTGTGCTGTTCAGGACTTAAATGTGAAACTCTTCACTGCTTTGAGGGCTGTCTTTCTGAAGAACGCTGCCAGCACATTTTAGCTCATTAACCATGAAATCGTATACGCTATTATCATTGTTTTTTCTTCCTTTTTGGCAATTGTTGGTTCAGTTCATGCTGGTATATTTTTTTTTCTTCATTTTTTTTCTCTCTTTTTTTTGTGATGAATAATTTGCAAGAAAGGCAACGGAAAATTTCTGAACAGGCAAACCAAGTAAGGTTAATGTCATGCTGGTTGATTTGTCTTATTGAACGTGACATAAAATCTGATTGCTACCTGGTAAATTATGAAACTCTGGAAATTTGTGATTAATGGGCTAAAATGAGAAATTACTAATGTGGTCGTTGAAGTTGAAGCAGACTTTTATGCGTTCATGTTACACTGGATTGTATAAGATGTTTATAATACTGACAGATCAGTCAGCATGTTTCTGTTCCAAAGGTTTAGTAGCTAGCACATTGTCAGTGAGCGAATGTGTGTGTGCTGTTGCGAAAGTGAAATGTGATGGAAGTTGAACAAATTGGAGGACAAGACTTCTTACAAAAGATTTTTTTTTTTTTTATTAAAATGTTTTGACCTCATTAAAATCCCCAAGTTGTGTTTTTTGTTTGTTTCTTGGTGTTTGAAATCTCAGTTGCTTTATGTGCTTCTAATGAGTGTAGAAAACATGGATGACCTGACAGCTCCAGAAAAATGAAGCCAAAGCGTCTCTGTGGCTACCTGCTGTCTGGCTGCAGTATAGTTTCATAAGTACTGCCCTCTCCATGTTAGTGGATGGGACTAGAGTCAAAATAAAGGCAGTGCTCCTCAGATAAATTTTCCCAAGAATGCTTTCTGTCGTTATTCATAGTTCTTATAGCTGATTTGGGTTGAAAAAGTCATGTTTTTAATTGGGTAGCAATGTTATGATTGACAGCTGAGTAGGCCCACTCGCAGGAGGAGAAGGTGCCAACTCCAAAATTGTGATTGTTTGAAACTTGTTCAGTAAACTGTACTGACCATCAACAGGGCCCTGATGGATAGTTGCAGTTTAAGTTAAGACTGTTTCCTAAGCTAATGCAGGCTGCAGGGTGAGTGATGCGGATGCTGTATCAGTCCATCATGGTGAAGAGAAAGCTGAGTGAAAAAGTGAAGCTCTTGATTTCCGGGTTGCTCTACGTCCCTACCCTCACCTATGGTCACGAGCTTTGGGTAGTGACTAAAAGAACCAGATCACAGATACAAGTGGCAGAAATGAGCTTTGTCCAAAGGGTGGCTGGCCTCTCCCTTAGGCAGGGGCTCAGAGTAGAGCTGCTACTCCTCCACATCGAAAGGAGCTACTTCAGGTGGTTTGGACATCTGATAAAGATGCCTTTGGGCGGCTCCTGGGTTAGGTGTTCTGGGCACGTCCCGCCGGGCCCGTGGGGTGACCCAAGAGCGATTATATCTCTTGGCTAGGGAGAGGGAGATCTGGACTTCTCTGCTTAGGCTGCTGTCCCTAGGAGCCGTCCCCGGATTAGTGGAAGAAGATGATGGATGGATGCTAGGTGGTTAGTTTTTGATATTACTCATTACACTGAACTAAATTTACTGCTTTTGTATTGAAGTTTGTGTCCCAAGAGGGCACAAGGGTCACACTTTGCTGCGTTAGCTTTTTATATCCAACAGCCTGTGTTGTTTATGTTTTTTCGATAAAATCATATCACTTTCTCTGGTATTTTGATTAGACTAAAGGTTTAAGATTGTGGTATTTTCTGTTGTTTTTTTTTAAGTGGCGCTGCAGCACTCTTCCCACCAACGACTTAGTACCTTAGTTTACTTAGCATCTTTAAAGAATACCCTGCTCTGGCATTCACATACTACCAGCAACATCAGTTCATGTAGTTTCTATCTCATTATCTTGATTTATGTTTTCTTTGACAATGCCAACTGAGTGATTTAATTAGAAGGCTTCTAAACAATCTATTAAAACATGGCTTATGTCTATACAGTTAATAAATTGTATGACTGGAGATTCATTTCAATATTAGACATTAACAGTGTTTATATACAATGTTCATCATGTAATTGAATTTTAAGTTGTACTTTTTGTTTTATTGCTGTTGTCTATTCTTAAAAATAGTACAAAATAAAAAAAAAAATTAACAATGGATATATTGTGTTAGCATTATTTTCTATCTGTGCTTTGTCCCGTCTGAGTTTGTCTTGTTTGCCAAGTATGCCTTGTCCCACGTTCCCACTCACGGGCCAAGATACCCACCCCATGACCCACCCTTGTTGTGGTGAGTGGGCTTTCAACAATGATGCGCCACCTCTCTCTCTCTTTTTTTTTTTAGTCATCTTGCGCTACACACAACTTCACAAATGAGGGTTATAAACACCTTTTAAGTGCAACATTGAGTTTTAAAAGTACGCACTAGTTTAAAAGTCCATAGAGATAATTTCTAGGATTTCTGCAGGGTGGTGCAGTGGTTAGCACTGTTGGCTTACAGGAAGAAGGTTATGCATTTGAGCCTTCTGTCCTGGAGAAAAACAGAGGCCATTTGATTAGGCACACCCCATTAATGTTGGGTTGGTTCTGCTTTTTCTTTCACAGCTACCTTAATTATTCATGGCACAGCATCAATCAGATGCTGCAAATTTCTCAGCTGGATATCCATGATGTAAATCTCCTGTTGCACCAGATCCCTGGTGCAACAGGAAATCTGGTTTATTATTATTATTATTATTATTATCTTAAACAAGTGAACTTGTTTAAGATAATAATGTGTACTTTATTAATTGCTTAGTCCTCTGCATTTAACCCAGGGGTGATTTTAGCCCATTTTTGGGGGTGCTTTGCTGAAGCACCCCCAAAGATTTCTTACTTTTTTTGAAAATATTTGCTGTTTGTGTGACACACTACTAAAAATATAAAAAAGCATACAGTACTTGGTTGAGACGTAACATTTTAACAACAAAAGTATAGATACCTCCCCCCCTATAATGGTTTGTTCTAGCTCGCCTCTCCCCTACTCTGGCTCTAGCGCCATTGCTGCTAGAGCAATGGTGGCTCACCGGAGGTGTAAGTGCCTGGCTTAAAACAGGACATATTAGCTGCATTTAACCTTCAGTTACTCTTTATATAGTTAGGTAGGAGTTACACCATGTTTCTTTTTTAGCTGAAAAACATTACACCCAGGTAACCTGCAGTGTTGAAAACTTGTTTTCCGAGGATGTTTGCTCTGTAGTAAATTCAGCAACATTTGACCGTCCTGTTGATCTCATTGAAATGTATACAGCCTATTTAAAATCTAAAACTTAACATTGTCCGTAGCCTGGTGTTGTTACCACTGTCCTGTTTGAAATGTAATGAGAGAAACGGGTTATTTTGTCATATGTGCATGTGCCGATATTGAACCCAAGGTACTAACTAGCTAACTGACTGGATGCCCATTAACCTTATAACTCCTGTTGTGTGTGTGTGTGTGTGTGTGTGTGTGTGTGTGTACAGAGAGACAGCCAGGTTCATAATGGATATGAAGAAGTTTTTTCAAAAAAAGGAGCCACATTCAGGTAAAAGTGTAAGATCAAATGATCCATCAATAAAGGATAATGTTGGATCAGTGTTTCAGTATTTATATCCTTTATTAGATGTACATGTGGTTTGGTTATTTGCCTTTTGGTTGGAAGTACACTGAGAGAGGACTTTTTTTTATTAGTGCTCTTAATAGTATTTTTTTTAATCTAATTGAATACAATCTATTTGTGTATGATTGTCAGTCCAAAGAGGGACAGAGGAAAGAGGGGAACTGTCAGAGGAAGTCATGGTTGCCAAAAAACTTTTTGAAGCTCAAGAGTGAGGCTGGTGCCATCCCAGATATGTTAACATTGTACAATCTTCTGCATAATCAGATCTTTGCCATCCCAGATATGTTAACATTGTACAATCTTCTGCATAATCAGATCTTCCCCACACTGAAAACTGCTATTCAAGTTGCCCTAACAAACCCAGTTAGCCGCTGTAGCTGTGAAAGGTCTTTTAGTGTCTTGAGTCAGGTCCATACCTGGCTGAGAAGGACCATGGGTCAAAGCAGACTCCAGCACCTGGCTGTGATGTCAGTTGAGAATGAGATGCTTGAGAGACTTGACCACCAAAATGTGATAGATTTACCAACCTCAAGGTGAGGCGACATAGGTTAAAAGAACAAATCTGCAGAGCCATAGTTGTATCTGCAGTAAAGATCTTTTCATACATTGTATACGTTGTACCATAGGCCAAGGTGTCTCTGTTTTCCAATTTTTTAATAATATTTTGTATATTTCAAGGACTCTTCTATTTTTGGAGTGTATTTTTTATGTGTCTGTATTATATTATACATACACTTTAAAAGTGAATCTCTGTCCAAAAAATGCACTCAGTTTACTTTTTACTCACTATGAGCATCATTCATCATTTTCCCCAGTAATTAAGGTTAGGATATGTATTTCTTTTTAATTCCAATCCATTCTTCTTTGGCAGCATTTAAATAACCATTATCAGATTTGATGGTTTTGTTACAAACTTTTCAAAAAAGTATTTTCCTTTCTTTCACAAATGTGGGGATTAAATTGTGTTAAAATGTACAAAACAGTGACGAGGACCCAGGCACAGAGAGACTTGATGAATTTAAGAATCTTATGATTTAATAAAGAAATTTGCAGACTTGCACAGAGAGGGTAAAATTATGATGACT